AGGCGGAATGACTTGAGACCTCATACATGTAAACATCTATTATATATAATATAATGACCAAAACGAAATGGTCCCGGTTAATTGACTTTGTTCCAATCTCATGTGAACTGGACCTAATAAAATCCTTCAAAAGTTGGCTAAATTTTTCCAAAACTTCAGTCAATATAGTTTTGTAGTACAACAATTTCTAAATAGCAAGGAAGCTGAATGACTGTATGGGTATGGACTATGGATAGCTCTTTCATGGGCTCTGCTCAGTTTGTATGTTGTAACTTATGTCGAGCCATTGCAAGTGAATTTAACAAAGCCAGCGAACAAAATTGACAAAAATATACACGATTTAGTTGCACATTTCAGCTTGGAGTTAATTGGTACTATTTCAACTGTCAATTCGACCTCGAACTTTGAAAGGTTCAAAACCTATCTGTCTCATGTTTGCTCACTCTATAATTTTGTATACGCAAAGGTTTTCATCATAACTTAATAACAAATTATAATTTAGGTTTTGGAAATCATTGGTTTTTTATCAGCAAGCAGTGCGCGCTAGCACTCTCGGACAACATTTCGACGGCCATTTTTAACCACCAAATTAAACAGAGTATATAAATAAAATAACACCCGAAATAAAGTTTTTTGTTACTTAAATCTTATCTTTAAGTGTCTTATAATAGCTGAAAGTAACAAAAACATATAAATTTTACACAAGTAATATTTTATAAAGCAATAGTTTCAGCATACCTTCTGATGGGTCATATACGCGTAGCCATATTTGTTTACAATTAGAACGTCTTACCCCCCGCGAAGCCCGCATCACGGATGGTCCGCTCGATGTATGGCCGTTTCTACGCCCTCTCTCCCTTCGCCCTGATGAGACACTCCTCAGTCAGTTATAAGGGGCTATTAACTCTTGATGTAAAAACAGTTTTTAATGAATATTTAACAATTATTGAATGAGGTTGAGCACGATATGAAGAATTATCAAGCCCAAAGTTTGCCGTTATCAACCGAAGCCGAAGGCTGAGGTTGATAACGGCAAACTGAGGGCTTGATAATTCTTCATATTGTGCGAAAACCAAATTCAATAATTGTTTTATAATTTATTTAAAAAATTGAAAACAAACGGAAGCCATTTGTATTGTATTTGTATTAAGAAAAAAAATTCCTAGTAGGTCCTCGGCAGCCGTCGTCGTCATCATATCAATGGTGTCAGCGAGTCGATATAATTCTCGTCGTCATAGTAATATGGCCAAACACGTCCAAATTTTTTTCATATTGACTCTTTGACGTCATTTTGCTAATATGAAAAATCCATATTTGGTTAGCCACTGAGTTGATATGACAATTTCGCAGTTGGCTGTTAGCCAATCAGAAACCAGAATTTTTTAAATAAATAATAATAAGACTTATCCTTTGTATATAAGATAATTTCCATAGTTTATTGTCATAATCACAATGAATTACAAAGACGGTTCATATTGCTACAAGGTAATGCAGGGTGTAATATGTATACTGGGTTTGGTGAATAATCCAAAAATTAGTTCTCTGGCAGTGATCGAACCTATGGCCCTGTGATTCCGCACCTCAGTTGGTTAGAGCGCTGCTCCGGAAGCACGGGATCACATAATTTCTCATGTTATCACATGATTTCACATGAAATCACACGTGTGAATTCATGTAGATTTTTTGTAAGCAGAATCAACAAAATTGTGTACAATAGTTCATCTATGGCAGAGAGCACTGTGTGTAGGTTTCCTGCTCATCTTAATCAAGATTAGAACGGGGAAGAATAGATTAAATTGTTAGTCAAACTGGATGTTTCATTAATCTTTGCCAGGATTGTAGGTAGATTTATAGCGTATACGTGTTTGACCTGCACACAAAGCCATAAAATTAGTATCTTTCCCATTCTGACTGTCAGTTGGATAACCGAAAGCTAAAGATGATAACCAGTCGATCTGCGCATGCGTTTTTAAAACAAACCTTATCATTATAATTACATGAAGTATGACATTCTGTACGAGTAATATAAAAAACATGTCGTCTCGAGGAGCGACAAACAAAGAATTGTGTTTTTTTTTCTATTGCAAAAATAAACACAATTTAAATTTTATCAGACGTAAACACAACTGAAAGGGTTATAAATTTGATGGAGCAAAATGCCTTTGTTAGAGTTGGTCGTTTCTTTTGTGGTGAAGGTGACAGTTTTATACGAAGGCAAGAACGAAGATATTACATAATTATTCAAAATCGTTTCAACTTCAAGGCTGTGAGTCTGAATTGACAAATTGAGTAACAAATTAATGCTGGATACTTTGAAAACGTTCTTAAGATCAAGATAAGGTATTTAATTAATTAATTAATTAAGATGAAGATAAGGTGTGGAGTATAATTAATACAATCCAGCCAGGAAACAACATATATATATATATATATATATATATATATATATATATATATATATATATATATATATATATATATATATATATATATATTTATTGGTCATTGGCAGACATTGGATACAAATTATGTTGTATGGGAAATCTCTTGATTGTTAACATGGAAGCCTACAATCTGTTATAAGCTTGCATGTTTGCTACAACCAAGAGATTTTGGTCAACAATGCAGCTGATCACAAACAAATATGTGTTATATATGAGAATGTATTTTTTTTTGGGGGGGGGGCTCACTCTGGTGCAATTTAGTATACCCTCCTGGCTTGAAAAGAATGCATTTTGGTCTCGCTGTTATAGACTTGCATGTTTGCTACAATCAGGAGATTTTGTTGAACAACATTGCATATTATCTCAAACAAATATGTGTTTATATATACGAGATTATTTATTTTTGCATTGGGGATCTCGTGCAATTTAGTGTACCCTCCTATAACTTGTGTGGCCAACTCCTTTATACCCATATTTTCCAGTGGCCCACCCTCGAATGGCGATTTTTCTCAGATGACCCTGCCCCCTTAGAGAGACTTGGTTTATAACCCATTAAGCTTCAGAGCTTCCTCATTGACGAATAAAATCATCTGGCGTTAGACAAGTAAAACAAAAAAGTAGAGCTCATTGTGGCTCAATGGGTTAATAAAAAGATGGGAAATTGTTGGCAAAAAGCTCTATATAGTTCTTTTATAATAGAAAAGAAAAGCTGCTTTTGAGAAGAGGCTCCATGTTAATTTAAATTTCCGTGGTTGGAGCTGAGCAATTTTGAAATTTGGAGTCTCCAGATTGTCAGAAATTGCATTTTTATAGTCTTCTCACTTTTCTGTACATCTAAAAGTTACAATTTTTCTACGACACCCCTCTTATTTCTACGACACACCTCTTATGCCCCCACACTATTTGTTCCAGCCATCCACCTTCATAAAAAAGTGAATGGTCCCTAGCAGTCACTAATTTGGGATTTGAATGACTGTTACATACTAAATACTTTATAAGGGGATGAGATTGGTTACTTATAACAATGACAATGAGTTTAAATTTTTTTACATGTGCATAGCCAAAATGTTTTATTTAACAGGCCCAGCCTGCTGAATTCTTCAGGGGTTCTGTTTTCAAATAGGAATTCATCAGGGTGTTGTAGGCCTAAAACCCTTGTCCTTGATAGGGGGATTGATATGGGTTTTTTTTTAATGGAATAGCACAATCTAAAATTGATTGTAGTATTCTATAAAGAAACAATGGTTGGTATTGAAGCTGTTTGGATAAATTAGTGCTCCATTCTCCTACAGCTTCTTACAAATTTGTTATATATTACAGTATGTATTATTACAAAGTCTGAGCAGTTTAATATTTTAGACTCACTCGTGGAGCCCAGACTGCATGGTTCTCATAGTCTACTACATGTATAGTATTACATATAATACGAGGGGTGCTAGTGTAGGCAGTGACATGGATAGCCCTTTTTTGTACCTTTAATATTTTACCAAGTATCACATCTATAAACTTGCATATAGACATTTTGTTGATGTATATAAATTAATACACCATGCGTCCTGTATTAGTATATATGGTTGAAGCAGTACATTAAACTACTAGAAGCATTACAGTGAGTCGATGACTTCTAAAACAAGACACAACCACTGAGAATTTTCGGTTATCTGTGAATATTATTCAACATACTGTGATACTGGAACTATATTCAGTGTTTTTATAATATAGTGTTTACATTTGTATACAAGTCCTTTGCCATACAATTCCCTTAAACTGTAGATTGTAGAAAGCATTCCAAACTTTGTCTTCAATCCTAATAAAAAAACACCCATTTTAAGACAATTTCCAGCAGTAGTTTCGTACTTCAGAACACATATTTGCCATGGCATACAGTGTCCAATCTCCATATTTTAGTAAAGTAAATCGACTTCTTCGTGCAATAAACTGCTAAAAAATCACAGTAGATATTTCTTTTCGCTCCTTAGAACTCTTAACAGCGTGCATGTGTCTCTAAAAACCGCCCACTGACTTGGGGCTCGAAAAATAAATTTCGTCGAAACTTTTACCGTGGACTACATTTACTTTCACAACAAACAAATGCTGTTTGGAATTTTGAAAATATATTTAGTTTCAAAGTTTTAGCGATTTTTTGGTCTCGCACCGTCGCAGGAGAAATTCGCCGGCTAATTAAACGAAAAAATGGGCTGAATTTAAATAAACATAATTTCAAAAGTTTTTGTTCAAAATTTCTGCTATTCACACCCAGCATGGGAAAACTATCAAAATAAGTCACAATAAGTGCATACGGAGCATATTTTTCCCAAGAAAAAAAGAGAATGTAACTCCCTATTATAATCTTTTAGGTATACTAAAGTTAGACAACGTCTTTCAATTGAAAATAGCAACTTTTGTTTACAAAATTCTAGCAGAAACAAATGATGTCCCGTCAGTATTTGCCAGTAGTATTGAATTTGAATTTATTAAATTTGCCACTGAAAAAGACGTGCTTTACATATACAAAAAACTACTAAATTGCCCTAATAAGTAAAATGGCAGGGTCACCACAACAGCAGTTGCCAATTACCGTGGGCCCTATGTTTAAATATTTATAAAAAACAATAATGAATGTTCTTACAGTTAAATGCAACAAGAAATTGGTTTGTTCAGCGGACGTCCTCGATTACACTTGATGCAAACTGTTTTGAAAGAGCGCGGATCGTCCCATTGATAATATGACAATGATGCTTTGTAATAATTGAGCATGATTGTTTTAAAAGATATCAGGTTGTTAGTACTCAAACAAAGTTCATCTGCCAAAACGTTCCATACTCTACATGTTCGTACAAAGTAAGAACGCTGATATGTGGTTGTCTTGCATTTTGGCACTACAAACTTTATCACGTTGCTCGCTGATGATCTGGTCGACCTAGTGTTTCTGGCCGTAGGTATAACGGTATGATCTATAATGACTAGTCCGTGAATGATCTTGAAGAAAAATATCATATCCTGCAGTTCATGCCAGTAGGTAATAGGGATAAGATTCAATTTTTTCAATCGAAGAGTGTAATCTACATTAGAACTGTATGGTATGCTAAGAATATATCTCGTTGCACGCCTTTGTATGCGCTCTAATTTACCAATTAATTGGACGAACTGCGGAGCCCACACCTGGGTGGCATAACCTAAATGAGGTCGAATCAGTCCTAGATAGAGCGTACGCCTGATTGATACACCTTTGATATAAATGGTGTTTCGCTTAATATATCCTAAAAGTTTATTGGCCTTGCCAGCTTGTTCTGAGACTTGTTTATTCCAAGTTAATTTGTTTGTAGTCCATACACCTAGATCTCGTTCATCTTCAGTCTTTTCAAGATCAGTATCAGTAAGTCTATATGTTGTTGAAACCGCCTTGATTTTTCTAGTAACACTCATAGCTTTGCACTTCGTTGCATTAAAAACAAGGCCTGAGGCGGCGGACCAGGTTTGCAAGCTGTCAAGATCAGACTGTAGCAAATTAGTATCCTCTAGATTTCTAATTTGTCTGCCCATCTTTATATCATCAGCATACATTGTAGCACGACTATTAGAAATTGATTTTGGCAAATCGCTAACGTACAACAAGAAGAAAACAGGACCCAATATGGATCCTTGGGGCACCCCGGAAGTAACAGGAAGCTCATCCGAAGTGGCACCCATAACGGTAACACGTTGTCGACGTTTAGATAGGTATGAGCGAAACCACTTAAGCAAATTTCCACTGAAACCAGCCTTGTATAATTTCTGTATCAATCGATTGTGGCTGACCATGTCAAATGCCTTTGACATGTCCAAATACACAAGATCTATCTGTTCTCCGTGGTCGAGTAATGAACCAACATGATCTAGCGCCTCGAGTAAATTAGTAACACACGACTTTCCAGTTAAATATCCATGTTGACATGCTGGAATTGACTTATACAACTGATCTTTGATGTTGTTTAATATGCAACGTTCTTTAATCTTTAATCTTTAATCTTTAATAAAATTTCTTTTAACACGGTAGCCTATTCAGTATAATATATACAGTCTGTTTTTCAAAGGGCCGTGCTATATAGTATTAAACACACATTAACTATGGATATTTACATTTAATTACAGCACATAATTATTACACACTCCATTAATTTCGGAAATGCATTATACATTATTCATGTGCAAGCTTAAGGGCTAAACGCCTTTTGAAATTGGGTAAAGATAAATCCTGAATGTTATTAGTTACTTCATCCGATAATTCGTTCCACCCTTGTGCTGCTCTATAAGAGAAACTTCTTTTAAGAAAGTTGGTTCTTGGTTTAGGCAAAGATAGTTTAACATTATTGCTTCTTAGAGAATAATTACTATTTTCGCATCTCGTGAAGAAATTCTGCACATAATCAGGTAGTCTGTTAGTTAAAGCTTTAAACGTCATAATGATTTCTCTTTTCTTTAAAATGTCTTCAATTGGCATCCAATTGAGACTTTCTAGTATTTGAGTGGAACGAACATCGTATGATTGTCCTGTGATAACCCGAGCTGCTCTTCTTTGTAACTTAGAAAGTTTGTTAAGAATGGTATTAGATCCATCATTCCATATTGTTGAGCAATATGTCAGGTGAGGAGATACTAGAGCATTATACATTTTGATTAAAATGTGTAAAGGAACAAAGGACTTGGCTCTTCTTAGTAATGCGATATTTTTTGAGATTTTTTTACATTGTGCGTCAATGTGTATACCCCACTTTAATTGATCGTCGATGATAAAACCAAGAGATTTTTTATTGGTGACCCGTTTAATATTATTATCTCGTATGGCTAATGAAATCTCTGGGTTGTCTTCAAATTTAGTAAGATGATGTCTAGAGCCAATTATCATAAATTCCGTTTTGCTATCGTTTAGCGTGAGCTTGTTACATCTAAGCCAACTATGAACATTCTCAAGATCTCTTTTAAGTTTAGTCTCGATTTCATTGGCATCTAAGCCGGCACACGAAAGATTTGTGTCATCAGCAAACAAGTTAGCCTTGGTTGTTTCTAGACACTTAGGTAGATCGTTAATATACAAGAGGAATAGGATGGGACCAAGGTTAGAACCTTGTGGTACCCCACACCTAATTTCTCTAGCATGTGATTTTTTCCCATTCATTAAACAAATCGATTTCCTATTTTGGATGTAAGATTCAAACCATGCGTAAGTAGTTCCTTTTATGCCGTATAGGTGAAGTTTCTTTAATAAGATTTCATGGTCGACAGTGTCAAAAGCTTTTTTCAAGTCCAAGAACAGGACTCCATTGATTAAGCCACTGTCCATGTTATATAACCACTCATTTGTCGAACCTAAGAGTGCCGTCTCAGTAGAGTGCTGTGAACGAAAACCGGACTGTTGCTCTACAAGAATGCTATTGTCGGCAATAAACGTTCTCAATTGATTGTACACTAGCCCTTCAAACAGCTTAGCAACCACAGAAATTACAGAGATTGGTCTATAATTTCCGCAATCAGTTTTATTCCCTTCTTTAAAGACTGGTGATACCTTGGCGATTTTCCACTCGTCCGGAAAAATTGCAGTCTGAAGAGATAGATTAAAGATGTTGGCTAATGGTTGCGCGATAACATCGCTTGTATCTTTTAATAGTTTTACACTTATGCCGTCCAGTCCTGGTGATTTCCTTGAATTAAGTTGGTTTAAGGCGTCAAAAGTCTCTTGGACTGAAATACATGAAAAATGAAACGAACTCTCCGTAGGAGTGACAAATGTCATAGGGTCAACATTAATATTTTGGACATTTTTCGACAGTTTACAACCGATGGATGAAAAATACTGATTAAAACAGTCCGCAATATTTGTGTCTCCAGTTATAACTTGGTCATCTACATTTAGCTGTGTTACATGGGTAGTTTTGGGCTTTTTGTTTAATAGCTCATTAATAGCCTGCCAACTCTCTTTGCTATTATTTGCATTAGATAACTTCGTTTTAAAGTATTCTTCCTTAGTCTTTTTAATAAGCTTATTTAATTTATTCTTGCATCTTTTGTAGGCCTCGTTATAATTACTCGATGTTAAACGAACACTCTGTCTTTTAAGATAATCCCTATGATGCATTAAACGCTTTATTTCTTTCGTCAGCCATGGTTTATGCTCACTCTTAACGCGACGCTGTCTAACTGGCGCGTGTTTTTCAGCAATAGTAAGAAAGTTGTTCTTAAATTCATTCCATAGCACATTTGGATCATTCGATGTGGGATCTAGATTAGTATAGTAGCTTAGCTCTTCTTTAAATTGGTGGGAGTTGTAATTTTTGAACTGTCGTGTAAATACAATTTTTGGTGGCTCTTTAGGAATGCTAATTTTCCGACATATATAAACAAGACTATGGTCACTAATCCCAAGGTCAACAACCCCGGCTTCTAAGGTTTTATCATCGTCGATATGTGTAAGAATTAAATCAATCAGAGACGAAGAATTATAAGTAGTTCTAGTAGGGGTCTGTATGTGTTGCTGCAGTTGGAAAATATCAATAATATTAATTAACTTAGAAGTAGCTTGGTTTTGATTGTGCTCAATAAAATTACAATTAAGATCCCCGGTTATGATAATATCTTTGTCTTCATTATCAATCTGCTTCAAGAAGTTTTCGAACTTTTGGAATAATTCAATTTTTGCACTCGGTGGTCGATACCAAGTTGAAATAAGCACTGGTTTACTTTTAGGTTTTCTAACTTCAATACAAAGCAATTCAAGAGTATCTTGTAATAAATCTTCACGTACGATATATGGAATGATAGTCCTTATATATATAGCTACCCCTCCTCCATGTCTGTTTCGGTCAGATCTGACAATATCATAACCAGGTATCTGTACTTCACAGTCTAGGAAAGTACTGTCTAATCTAGTTTCATTTAAGGTCAATATATCGAAAGGTTCATCACGCATATAAATAAGTAGTTCTTCATAGTGTTTAGGCAAGCTAGCGATGTTAAGTTGTGCTACTTTGAAACCTTTAAGTTAGGAAGAATAGGGTTTGGTTGCTTTACTGGCCTTATTGTATTGGTAACAGGTTGTGGAGGGGGTGGAGCATCGGTAGATGGTCAATTAGGATTTTTTAGATAGTTTGTAAAGTTCTGGGCTAATTTAGCTGTTCCTTGTTTAGAAAGATGGAGCCCATATGGGTTCAAATGTTCAGAGGAAATATTTCTGTGGGTAATGATCTTCCACTTATTATTGGTACATACCTGGGATAGCTTAGTATTAAGTTCTGTAATTTTCGTATTCAAACTTGGGTCATCATTTCTTGTAATTACTTCGGAAATAGCAAGATTCGTTGTAGGTAGTTCCTTCTTGATCTGTTGCCCAAGCATGGATATGGCATTTGTTATCTCTTGTGGTGTACTTTGTCTCAAGTCGTTTGTACCGACATGCAGAATCAAATGGTCTGGTGTACGGGCCGGAGTAGGTTTAACATAATATTCCATATCGCTTACCTTCGCACCTGGAAACGTCTTGATTTGAGTGTTAAAGCTCCTTGTACTTCTCCTTAGCTGTGTAGGATTTATGTGCTTGAGCATCGAGTCTCCCACGATAGCAACGTTAGGACGAGGGTGATGATAAGTTTGCTTCGTTTCTTTGCTGCCAGTATGATGCCTTCTGTTATATTTCTCATTTACTTGTTTAGGTTTCGTTGCTGGTTCTGTACGAGCGGTAACAAGGTCATTCTGCGTAACATCCACGTCATCTGCATTACTTTGACTAAGACTTTTGAAAGACTTTTGAAATTACTGACAATAGAGATATTGGACGATAGTTTTCTACATGTTCTCGTTCGTTCTTTTTATAAATAGGAACCATGTTGGCTAATTTCCAATCCCTCGGCATTTCTCCAGCATTTCTTCTTTTAGCAGTTTGGCAGGAATTCCGTCCGGTCCGGTAGCTTTACTAATATCGAGAGTTTTAAGAATTTCTTGCACTTCTGTGACTGAAAGAGTCAACGAATCAACCAACGTGTCGGCAATACATTCTGTAACTTCGCACGATGCATCTAGACGTGAGTCCTCTGTGATGGTATATACGGAACTAAAGTACCTGTTAAACAAGTTCGCAATTCCCTCTGGAGTGTCAGCATTTTCTCGCGGATTTGACTGCTCT